CGATCTGCGTCGGCTGACCTCGGTGTCGGCCTCCGGCGATGAGGGGAGTGGTGCGACGCCGCCTTCGGCCAAATGCATCGCCGGTGGCCGACGCGACGAGCGGCAGGGCGACGTGGGCTTGCAGTCGACGTCGACAGGGGAGGAGCAGGTCGAGAAGCAGGTCGAGGACCAGCGGCCAGCAGAGGAGCAGGCAGCAATGACGCCGACCAAGGAGCAGTCGGCGACCGGGCAGTCGGCAGGGGAGCCGACCATAGGGGAGAAGTCGGCTGGGACGCCGGCTGACGAGCAGCAGGACGTCGAGGGCAGCGGCAATGATGGAGGGGACGCCGAGGAGGTCCAGCCAGGACCACGGCGTTCAGGCCGACTTCGGAGGCCGCCTGACTTCTTCGTCCCCGCTGCCTTCACCACGGTGTACGACGTGGACGATGAGGCCGACAACCTGCTGTACGACGATGCCGAGGAGGATGAAGAGTTTCCAGAGCTCGACCCCGACATGTTAGCCGACCCCGAGCACCGTTGGGACATCTCGACGATGACGGTGAAGGAGGCGTTGGCGAGCTGGAAGGGCCCGGCAGTGAAGGCCGCCATGGAGGAGGAGATTCGCAGCCTCCTCAACATGGGAACGTGGGAGTTGGTCGAACGTCCGCCGGGAGTGAACGTCATGAAGAACCGGTGGGTGTTGACGACGAAGTACCACGTCGACGACACCGTCGAGCGCGAAAAGGCGAGGCTGGTGGTGAAGGGCTTCACGCAGGTGTATGGCGCCGACTACGACGAGACGTTTGCGCCGGTGGGCAGCTACGTCACGCTGAGGATCTTCCTCAGTATCGTCGTCGTCCGCAACCTCAACCTGATGCAGCTCGACATGAAGAACGCCTTCTTGCAGAGCAAGCTCGACAGGGTGCTCTACATGTCCCAGCCAGACTACTTCAACGACGGGATCGGCCGGGTGTGCAAGCTGCTGAAGAGCCTGTACGGGCTAAAGCAGTCGCCGCTGCTGTGGTACTTGGCGCTCAATGACGTGCTGGTCGGCGCCGGGTGGAAGAAGAGCCAGGTCGACGAGGCTCTCTACTGCAAGGTCGGAGAGGACGGAGTGGCCTGCTGGGTGCTGGTCTACGTCGACGACCTACTTGCCGCCAGCAGTAGCACCGCGATGTTGAAGGAGCTGAAGGAGCTGCTGGAAGCCGCCTTCGAGCTGCGTGAGATCTCGCCGGTGCAGAAGTACCTCGGGCTGGAGATCGTCCGCGACAGGTCGGCGGGGAAGCTGTGGCTGCACCAGCAGGGCTACGCCGACAAGCTGCGTACGCGCTTCATCGACGAGGAGCAGACCGGGCGCACCCCGAAGACGCCGGTCTCTGTCGCCGCCTACGCTGAGCTCACGTTCGATGATGAGGAGGCACAGGAGCGGCAAGAGGAGGAGTACCGGCAGAAGGTCGGCTCGCTGCAGTTCGCGGCAATGACGACGAGGCCGGACATCGCCTTCGCCTGCAGCAAGCTGGGGAGCGGTCTCACGGTGAGGAGCGACCAGCACTGGCGTGAGGTCGACCGCTGCCTCGTCTACCTCGCCAATACGCGTGACACCGCTCTGGAGTTCGGCGGTGGACCTGAGTCGCTGGACCTGGTCGGCTACGTGGACGCCGACGACGCCGGTGACAAGCAGAACAGGACGAGCACGAGTGGCTACGTGTTCGTCTATGGAGGGGCTGCAGTCTCCTGGTCGAGCCAGCGCATCAAGTGTGCGACGTTGTCGTCGACTGAGTCGGAGTACGTGGCAGCCACCGAAGCCGGCAAAGAAGGACGTCGACTTCGTTTCCTCCTTGCAGAGTTCCGGCAGCTGGATGCCGGGAAGCCGACCGTCCTTTGGGTGGACAACAAGTCGGCTATCTCAGTCGCCGAGGGCATGGGGTTGACGGGCAACCTCAAGCACATGGAGCGGCGACAGGCCTGGCTGCAGCACATGGTGAAGCGCGGGAAGTTCTCGTTGAGGTACATCCCAACCACTGAGCAGCCGGCCGACTTCCTGACGAAGGCCCTGCACTATCCGGCCTTCAACCGGTGCTCCGTCGCAATCGGCCAGGTGCGCTTGGCCGACGTGGGCGACGGCGACAACGACGTGCAGCAGTAGGTGCCATGCCCTCTTGCATGGCTGGTGCGGTGGACGACGTGCGGTGTGTTGGGTGCACGTCGACGAGCTATTCTCCGAGGAGTACTGCCGAGTGGACTTGAGGGGGACCAAGCGTGAACGCGGCAGGGGAGTGTCAACGGGAGTTGTATGTTGGCCCCGTCCACGCTTGGGCGGAGCCGACATCGTGGTCGGGTGTTAGGGGAGCAGCTGACCTGCAGCAGTGGGCGAGCTGGTCGACGAGGAGGTCGACCTGCACGGGGACCACTGCACGGGCGCCGACTTCGGGGTGGCGCCAACTTCGGGGAGGTCGACTTAAGCGTCGACCTGCGGAGGACGTCAACTTGGGAAGCCGACTTTGGTGGTCGGCTGATGTGCTGGTCGACCTGCGGGTGGTTGACTGGACCGGTGGTCGACGAAGGAGGGGTCGACGTCGAGTAGCAGGACGTCGAGCAGTCAGGACGTCGAGCAGTCGGGCGTCGAGCAGTCGGGCGTCGAGTGACATGGTCGTCGACCGAGGGGCATGGTCGACCCGGTGAGGTCGACAACGAGGTGGTCGTCGACTTGGGAGGTCGACGGACACGTACGGGAGTTGCTGGTCGATGTGGTTGCCCGGTCGACCAGGTTACCTGGGTGACGAAGTGCTGCGGAGGAGTGCGACGGTCGCCCAGGCGAAGCTGGCGAGACCGACCTTGGTGGTGGTATCACGAGGTCGTCGTGGCAGATCAGAGGTAGCCGTCAGCCCGAGGCTGACGTGGTGTGTGTGTGCTGTGCAGGTGATGAGGCTCGGCATACCAATCATCTGCACGCACCTGCAAAGCGGGTGCACTGCTGGCACACCGTCGACCTGAAGCATTGGCAAGCTGTCGACTTTGCTCTGCTGGAGCGCGGTCGATCAAGTCGTGTTGGAATGCAGTCGACCATGCTGTGCTGGCAGTTGACCAACCTGAATGCTAGCTCTGATGTAGTCTTGCATTGCCAACTTCATTGTACCATTGTTGTGATCTTTTCTTAGTGAAACTCTTGCCAAATTGCCCCGTGAACTAGCAAGCAGTGTTAGCACTAGGAAAACGTCTAAGGACCAACGAGCGCAGAGATCACACGAGCACACGTGCCTAGCCAGTAGTCTAGCTCCCGTTGTAGTAGTTATCTCCGCAGCAAGCTCCTGGACCAGGCAAGCTCCTCGACCAGGCAAACTCTTGGACCAGGCAAGCTCCTGGACCACCCAAGCTTCTTGACCAGGCAAACTCGTGGACCATGCACGCTCCTGGACCAGGCAAGCTCCTGGAATAGGCAAGCCCCTAGACCAGGCAAGCTCCTGGACCAGGCAAGCTCTTGGACCACGCAAGCTCTTGGACCAAGCAAGCTCTTGGACCAGGCAAGCTAGTGGACTAGGCAAGCTTCTGGACCAGGCAAGCTCCTGGACTAGGCAAGCTCTTGGACTAGGCAAGCTCCTGGACCAGGCAAGCTTCTAGACCAGGCAAACTCGTGGACCAGGCACGCTCCTGGACCAGACAAGCTCATGGACCAAGCAAGCTCCTGGACCAGGCAAACTCTTGGACCAAGCAAGCTCCTGGACCAGGCAAGCTTCTGGACCAGGCAAACTCGTGGACCAGGCACGCTCGTGAACCACGCAAGTTCCTGGACTAGGCAAGCTCCTAGACCAGGCAAGCACCTGGACCAGGCAAGCTCCAGGACCACGCAAGCTTGGACCACGCAAGCTCTTGGACCAGGCAAGCTCCTGGACCAGTCAAGCTCATGAACCAGGCACGCTCCTAGACTAGGCAAGCTCCTGGACCAGGCAAGCTCCTGCACCAGGCAAGCTCCTAGACTAGGCAAGCTCTGTGATCAGGCAGGCTTCTAGACAAAGCAAGCTCGTGGACTAGGCACACTCCTGGACCGGGCACGCTCCTGGACCAGGCAAGCTCCTAGACCAGGCAAGCTCCTGAACCAAGCAAGCTCCTAGACTAGGCACGCTCGTGGACGAGGCATGCTCCTGAACCAAGCAAGCTCCTAGACCAAGCACGCTCCTGGACCAGGCAAGCTCCTGGACAAGGCAAGCTCCGGGACCACGCATGCTCTTGTACCAGGCACGCTCCTAGACCAGGCAAGCTCTTGCACCATGCACGCTTCTGGACCAAGCAAGCTCCTGGACTAGGCAAGCTCCTGGACCAGGCACGCTCTAGGACCAGGCAAGCTCCTGGACCAGGCAAGCTCCTGAACCAGGCATGCTCCTGGATCAAGCAAGCTCCTGGACCAGGCAAGCTTCTGGGCCAGGCAAGCTCATGGACCAGGCAAGCTCCTGGACAAGGCACGCTCGTGGACTAGGCACGCTCTTAGACCACGCAAGCTCTTGGACCAGGCAGGCTCGTGGACCAGGCACGCTCAGGGACCAGGCAAGCTCCTGGACAAGGCAAGCTCCTGGACCAAGAAGCTCCTGGACCAGGCACGCTCGTGGACCAGGCACGCTCCCGAACAAGGCAAGCTCCAGGACCACGCAAGCTCTTGGACCAGGCATGCTCCTGGACGAGGCAAGCTCTTGGACCAGGCAAGCTTGTGGACCAAGCAAGCTCCTAAACCAGGCAAGCTCATGGACCACGCAAGCTCCTGGACCAGGCAAGCTCTTGGACCTGGCAAGCTCTTGGACCAGGCAAGCTCCTGGACCAGGCAAGCTCCTGGACCAGGCACGCTCGTGGACGAGGCACGTTCCTGGACCAGGCAAGCTCTTGGACCAGGCAGGCTCGTGGACCAGGCAAGCTCTTGGACCAGGCAAGCTCCAGATCAGGCAAGCTCCTAGACCAGGCAAGCTCCTGGACCAGGCACGTTCCTGGACCAGGCAAGCTCCTGGACCAGGCACGTTCCTGGACCAGGCAAGTTCCTAGACCAGGCAAGCTCCTGGACCAGGCACGTTCATGGACCAGGCAAGCTCCTGGACCAGGCACGTTCCTGGACAAGGCAAGTTCCTGGACCAGGCAAGCTCCATATCGGGCAAGCTCCTAGACCAGGCAAGCTCCTGGACCAGGCACGGTCGTAGACCAGGCACGCTCCTGTCCAGGTCCACGTCCACGACCATGTCCACGTCCACGTCCACGTTCACGTCCACGTCCACAACCATGTCCACTTCCACGTGCACGTGTACGTCCACGTCCATGTCCACGTCCACGTCCACGTTCACGTCCACGTCCATGTCCACGTCTTTGCCACGTTCACGTCCACGTCCACGACCATGTCCACGTCCACGTTCACGTCCACGTCCACGTCCACGTCCACGTCCATGTCCACGTCCACGTCCACGTCCACGTCCACGTCCACGTCCACGTCCACGACCAGGTCCACGTCCAAGTCCACGTCCACGTCCACGTCCACCTCCATGTCCACGTCCAAGTCCTCCACGTCCACGACCACGTCCACGTCCACGTCCACGTCCACGTCCTCCACGTCCACGTCCACGTCCTCCACATCCACGTCCTCCACGTCCACGTCCACGTCCACGTCCACGTCCACGTCTACGACCACGACCACATCCACGTCCATGTCCACATCCACGTCCACGTCCACGTCCACGTCCACGTCCACGTCCACGTCCACGTCCATGTCCACGTCAACGTCCACGTCCACGTCCACGTCCACGTCCATGTCCACGTCCACGTCCACGTCAAGGTCCACGACCACGTCCACGTCCACGTCCACGACCATGTCTACGTCCACGTCCACGTCCACGACCATGTCCATGTCCACGTCCACGTCCACGTTCATGTCCACGTCCACGTCCACGTCCACGTTCACGTCCACGTCCACGTATCAACGTTCACGTCCACGTCCACGTATCAATGTTCGCGTCCACGTCCACGTCCACGTCCACGTCCACGTCCACGTTCACGTGCACGTCCACGTCCACGTTCACGTCCACGTCCACGTCCACGTCCACGTCCACGTTCACGTCCACGTTCACGTCCACGTCCACGTCCACGTTCACGTCCACGTCCACGTTCACGTTCACGTTCACGTTCACGTTCTTGTTCACGTTCACGTCCACGTCCACGTCCACGTGCACGTTCACGTCCACGTCCACGTGCACGTCCACGTCCACGTCCACGTCCACGTCCATGTCCACGTCCACGTCCACGTCCACGACCACGTCCACGTCCACGTCCACGTCCACGTCCACGTCCACGACCACGTCCACGTCCACGTATCAATGTTCACGTCCACGTCCACGTCCACAACCACGTCCACGACCACGTCAACGCCCACGTCCACGTCCACGTCCACGTCCACGTCCACGTCCACGCCCACGCCAACGCCCACGTCCACGTCCACGTCCACGTCCACGTCCACGTCCATGTCCACGACCACGTCCACGTCCACGTCCACGTCCACGTCCATGTCCACGTCCACGTCCACGTCAACGTCCACGTCCACGTCCATGTCCACGTCCACGACCACGTCCACGACCACGACCACGTCCACGTCAAGGTCCACGACCATGTCTACGTCCACGTCCACGACCATGTCCACGTCCACGTCCACGTCCACGTCCACGTCCACGTATCAATGTTCACGTCCACGTCCACGTCCACGTCCACGTTCACGTCCACGTTCACGTCCACGTCCACGTTCACGTCCACGTCCACGTTCACGTCCACGTGCACGTCCACGTCCACGTTCACGTTCACGTCCACGTTCACGTCCACGTCCACGTTCACGTTCACGTTCACGTCCACGTTCACGTTCACGTCCACGTTCACGTCCACGTCCACGTTCACGTCCACGTCCACGTTCACGTTCACGTTCACGTCCACGTGCATGTCCACGTCCACGACCACGTCCACGTCCACGTCCACGTCCACGACCACGTCCACGTCCGCGTCCACGTATCAATGTTCACGTCCACGTCCACGTCCACGTCCCCGTCCACGTTCACGTCCACGTCCACGTCCACGTCCACGTCCACGTCCGCGTCCACGTCCGCGTCCACGTCCGCGTCCGCGTCCACGTCCGCGTCCACGTCCCCGTCCACGTCCGCGTCCACGTCAGTCCACGTCCAAGTCCTCCACGTCCAAGTCCTCCACGTCCACGACCACGTCCACGTCCACGTCCACGACCACGTCCACGACCACGTCCACGTCCACGACCACGTCCACGACCACGTCCACGTCCACGACCACGTCCACGACCACGTCCACGTCCACGTCCACGTCCATGTCCACGTCCACGTCCAAGTCCTCCACGTCCAAGTCCTCCACGTCCACGACCAAGTCCATGACCACGTCCACGTCCACGTCCACGTCCACGTCCACGTCCAAGTCCTCCACGTCCAAGTCCTCCACGTCCATGACCACGTCCACGACCACGTCCACGTCCACGTCCACGTCCACGTCCACGACCACGTCCACGTCCACGTCCACGACCACGTCCACGTCCACGACCACGTCCACGACCACGTCCAGGTCCACGTCCACGTCCATATCCACGTCCATGTCCACGTCCACGCCCACGTCCACGTCCATGTCCACGACCACGTCCACATCCACGTCCACCTCGACGTCCAAGTCAACGACCACGTCAACGTCCACGTCTACGTCCATGTCCACGACCACGTTCACGTCCACGTCCACGTCCACGTCCATGTCCACGTCAACGCCCACGTCCACGTCCACGTCCACGTCCACGTCCATGTCCATGTCCATGTCCACGTCAACGTCCACGTCCACGTCCACGTCCACGTCCACGTCCACGACCACGTTCACGTCCACGTCCACGTCCACGACCACGACAATGTCCACGTCCACATCCACGTCCACGTCCACGACAATGTCCACGTCCACGTCCACGTCCACGTCCACGTCCATGTCCACGTCCACGTCCACGTCCACGTCCATGTGTCCACGTCCATGTCCACGTCCACGTCCATGTCCACGTCCACGTCCATGTCCATGTCCACGTCCACGTCCACGTCCACGTCCATGTCCACGTCCATGTCCACGTCCACGTCCACGTCCACGTCCAAGTCCACGTCCAAGTCCTCCACGTCCATGTCCACGTCCACGTCCACGTCCACGTCCACGTCCATGTCCATGTCGACGTCCACGTCCACGTCCACGTCCACGTCCATGTCCACGTCCATGTCCACGTCCACGTCCACGTCCACGTCCATGTCCACGTTCATGTCCACATCCATGTCCACGTCCATGTCCACGTCCACGTCCATGTCCACGTCCACGTCCATGTCCATGTCCACGACCACGTCCACGTCCACGTCCATGTCCATGTCCACGTCCACGTCCACGTCCACGTCCACGTCCATGTCCACGTCTACGTCCACGTCAACGTCCAAGTCCATGTCCACGTCCATGTCCACGTCCACGTCCACGTCCACGTCCTTGTCCACGTCCATGTCCACGTCCATGTCCACGTCCACGTCCATGTCCACGTCCATGTCCACGTCCACGTCCATGTCCACGTCCACGTCCACGTCCACGTCCATGTCCACGTCCATGTCCAAGTCCATGTCCACGTCCATGTCCACGTCCATGTCCAAGTCCATGTCCACGTCCAAGTCCACGTCCATGTCCACGTCCATGTCCACGTCCAAGTCCTCCACGTCCACGTCCACGTCCACGTCCATGTCCACATCCACGTCCATGTCCACGTCCACGTTCACATCAATCCACATCCAAATCCTCCACGTCCAAGTCCTCCACGTCCACGTCCACGTCCATGTCCATGTCCACGTCCACGTCCAGGTCCACGTCCACGTCTACGTCCATGTCCAGGAGCTTGCCTCGTCCAAGAGCTTGCCTTGTCCAAGAGCTTGCGAGGTCCAGGAGCTTGCCTGGTCTAGGAGCTCGCCTGGTCCAAGAGCTTGCCTGGTCGAGGAGCGTGCCTGGTTCAGGAGCTTGCCTTTTCCACGAGCGTGCCTGGTCCAGGAGCTTGCCTTGTCCAGGAGCTTTCTTGGTCCGTGAGCTTGCCTGGTCAAGGAGCTTGCGAGGTCCAGGAGCTTGCCTGGTCCAAGAGCTTGCCTGGTCTAGGAGCTTGCGTGGTCCAGGAGCTTGCCTGGTCCAAGAGCTTGCCTGGTCTAGGAGCTTGCCTAGTCCAGGAGCTTGCTTGGTCTAGGATCTTGCCTGGTCCAAGAGCTTGGGTGGTCCACGAGCTTGCCTGGTCTAGGAGCTTGCCTGGTCCAGGAGCTTGCCTGGTCCTGGAGCGTGCCTAGTCTACGAGTTTGCCTGGTCCAGAAGCTTGCCTGGTCTAGGAGCTTGCATGGTCCAGGAGCGTGCCTGGTCCAGGTGCTTGCTTGGTCCAGGAGCTATCCTGGTCCAGGAGCTTGCCTGGTCCAGGAGCTTGCCTGGTCCAGAAGCTTGCCTGGTCCAGGAGCTTGCATGCTCCAGGAGCGTGCCTGGTCCAGGAGCTTGCCTGGTCCAGGAGCTATCCTGGTCCAGGAGCTTGCCTGGTCCAGGAGCTTGCCTGGTCCAAGAGCTTGCCTGGTCCAGGAGCTTGCCTCTTCCACGAGCATTCCTGGTCCAGGAGCTTGCCTTGTCTAGGAGCTTTCTTGGTCCGTTAGCTTGCCTGGTACAGGAGCTTGCTTAGTCCAGGAGATTTCCTGGTCCAAGAGCTTGCCTGGTCCAGTAGCTTGCCTGGTCCAACAGCTTGCCTGGTCCAGGAGCTTACGTGGTCCAATAGCTTGCTTGGTCCAGAGGTCCAAGAGCTTGCCAGGTCCACGAGCGTGCCTGGTCCAAGAGCTTGCGTGGTCCAGGAGCTTGCGTGGTCCAAGAGCTTGCCTGGTCCAAGAGCTTGCCTGGTCCAGGAGCTTTGCATGGTCCAAGAGCTTGCCTGGTCCAGGAGCTTACGTGGTCCAGGAGCTTGCCTGGTCAAGGAGCTTGCCTGGTCTAGGAGCTTGCCTGGTCCAGGAGCTTGCCTGGTCCAGGAGCGTGCCTGATCCACGAGTTTGCCTGGTCCAGAAGCTTGCCTGGTCTAGGAGCTTGCCTAGTCTAGCAGCTTGCATGGTCCAGGAGCTTGCGTGGTCCAGGAGCTTGCCTGGTCTAGGAGCTATCCTGGTCCAGGAGCTTGCCTGGTCCAGGAGTTGCCTGTTCCACGAGCGTGCCTGGTCCTGGAGCTTGCCTTGTCCAAGAGCTTTCTTGGTCCGTTAGCTTGCCTCGTCCAGGAGCTTGCCTGGTCCAGGAGCGAGCATGGTCTACGAGCGTGCTTGGTCCAGGAGCTTGCCTAGTCCAGGAGCTTGCCCGGTCAAGGAGCTTGCCTGGTTCGGGAGCTTGCCTGGTCCTGGAGCTTGCATGGTCCACAAGCCTGCCTGGTCCAAGAGCTTGCCTGGTTTAAGAGCGTGCATGGTCCACGAGTGTGCCTGGTCCAGGAGCTTGCCTGGTCCAGGAGCTTGCCTGGTCCAAAAGCTTGCTTGGTCCAGAAGCCTGCCTGGTCCAAGAGCTTGCCTGGTCAAGGAGCGTGCCTGGTCCAAGAGCTTGCGTGGTCTAGGAGCTTGCGCGGTCCAGGAGCTTGCCTGGTCCACGAGCTTGCCTGATCCACGAGCTTGCCTGGTCCACGAGCTTGCCTGGTCCAGGAGCTTGCCTGGTCCAGGAGCTTGCCTGGTCCATGAGCTTGCCTGTTCCACGAGCGTGCCTGGTTTAGGAGCTTGCCTTGTCCAGGAGCTTTCTTGGTCCAAGAGCTTGCCTGGTCCAGGAGCTTGCCTGGTCCAAGAGCTTGCCTGGTCCAGGAGCTTGCCTGGTCCAGGAGCTTGCCTGGTCCAGGAGCTTGCCTGGTCCAAGAGCTTGCCTGGTCGAGGAGCTTGCCCGGTCCACGAGCTTGCCTGGTCCAGGAGCGTGTCGATCCACTAGCTTGCGTGGTCCAAGAGCGTGCCTGGTCCAGGAGTGTGCCTGGTCTACGAGCGAGCCTGGTCCAGGAGCGTGCCTGGTCTAGGAGCTTGCCTGGTCAAGGAGCTTGCCTGGTCCGGGAGCTTGCCTGGTCCAGGTGCTTGCTTGGTCCACGAGCCTGCCTGGTCCAAGAGCTTGCCTGGTCCAAGAGCGTGCATAGTCCACGAGCGTGCCTGGTCCAGGAGCTTGCCTAGTCCAAAAGCTTGCTTGGTCCAGAAGCCTGCCCGGTCCAAGAGCTTGCCTGGTCCAGGAGCGTGCCTGGTCCAAGAGCTTGCGTGGTCTAGGAGCTTGTGTGGTCCAGGAGCTTGCGTGGTCCACGAGCTTGCCTGGTCCAAGAGCTTGCCTTGTCCAAGAGCTTGCCTGGTCCAAGAGCTTGCGTGGTCTAGGAGCTTGCCTGGTCCACGAGCTTGCCTGGTCTAGGAGCTCTCTTGGTCCAGGAGCTTGCCTGGTCCAGGAGCGTGCCTGGTCCACGAGTTTGCCTGGTCCAAAAACTTGCTTGGTCCAGGTGCTTCCCTGGTCTAGGAGCTTGCATGGTCCAGGAGCTTGCCTGGTCCAGGAGCTTGCCTGGTCCAGGAGCTATCCTGGTCCAGGAGCTTGCTTGGTCCAGGAGCTTGCCTGGTCCAGGAGCTTTCCTGTTCCACGAGCGTGCCTGGTCCAGGAGCTTGCCTTGTCGAGGAGCTTTCTTGGTCCAAGAGCTTGCCTGGTCCAGGAGCTTGCCTGGTCCAGGAGCTTGCCTGGTCCAAGAGCTTGCCTGGTCTAGGAGCTTGCCTGGTCCAGGAACTTGCCTGGTCCAGGAGCTTGCGTGGTCCAAGAGCTTGCCTCGTCGAGGAGCTTGCTTGGTCCACGAGCTTGCCTGATCTACGAGCTTGCCTGGTCAAAGAGCGTGCCTTGTCCAGGAGCGTGCCTGGTCTACGAGCGAGCCTAGTCCAGGAGCTTGCCTGGTCCTGGAGCTTGCCTGGTCAAGGAGCTTTTGTGGTCCAGGAGCTTGCCTGGTCCACGAGCCTGCCTGATCCAAGAGCTTGCCTGGTCCAGGAGCGTGCATAGTCCACGAGCGTGCCTGGTCCAGGAGCTTGCCTGGTCCAGGAGCTTGCCTAGTCCACGAGCTTGCCTGGTCCAAGAGCTTGCCTGGTTCAGGAGCGTGCATGGTCCACGAGCGTGCCTGGTCTTGGAACTTGCCTGGTCTAGGACCTTGCCTGGTCCAAGAGCTTGCGTGGTCCAGGAGCGTGCCTGGTCCGAGAGCTTGCGTAGTCCAGGATCTTGCATGGTCCAAGAGCTTTCCTGGTCCAGGAGCTTGCCTGGTCCAGGAGCTTGCCTCGTCCAAGAGCTTGCCTGGTCCAAGAGCTTGTGAGGTCCAGGAGCTTGCCTGGTCCAGGAGCTTGCCTGGTCTAGGGGCTTGCCTGGTCAAGGAGCTTCCTTGGTCCAGGAGCGTGCCTGGTCCACGAGTTTGCCTGGTCCAGAAACTTGCCTGGTCCAGGAGCTTGCCTGGTCTAGGAGCTTGCATGGTCCAGGAGCGTGCCTGGTCCAGGAGCTTGCCTGGTCGAGGAGCTATCCTGGTCCAGGAGCTTGCCTGGTCCAGGAGCTTGCTTGGTCCAGGAGCTTGCCTGTTCCACGAGCGTGCCTGGTCCAAGAGCTTGCCTTGTCCAGGAGCTTTCTTGGTCCAGGAGCTTGCCTGGTCCAAGAGCTTGCCTGGTCCAAGAGCTTGCCTGGTCGAGGAGCTTGCCCGTTCCACGAGCTTGCCTGGTCCAGGAGCGTGTCGATCCACTAGCTTGCCTGGTCCAAGAGCGTGCCTGGTCCAGGAGTGTGCCTGGTCTACCAGCGAGCCTGGTCCAGGAGCTTGCCTGGTCCAGGAGCTTGCCTGGTCAAGGAGCTTGCCTGGTCCGGGAGCTTGCCTGGTCCAGGAGCTTGCCTGGTCCACGAGCCTGCCTGGTCCAAGAGCTTGCCTGGTCCAAGAGCGTGCATGGTCCACGAGCGTGCCTGGTCCAGGAGCTTGCCTGGTCCAAAAGCTTGCTTGGTCCAGAAGCCTGCCCGGTCCAAGAGCTTGCCCGGTCCAGAAGCGTGCTTGGTCCAAGAGCTTGCGTGGTCTAGGAGCTTGCGTGGTCCAGGAGCTTGCCTGGTCCACGAGCTTGCCTGGTCCAAGAGCTTGCCTGGTCCAAGAGCTTGCCTGGTCCAAGAGCTTGCGTGGTCTAGGAGCTTGCCTGGTCTAGGAGCTTGCCTGGTCTAGGAGCTCTCCTGGTCCAGGAGCTTGCCTGGTCCAGGAGCGTGCCTGGTCCACGAGTTTGCCTGGTCCAGAAACTTGCTTGGTCCTGGAGCTTGCCTGGTCTAGGAGCTTGCATGGTCCAGGAGTGTGCCTGGTCCAGGAGCTTGCCTGGTCCAGGAGCTATCCTGGTCCAGGAGCTTGCCTGGTCCAGGAGCTTGCCTGGTCCAGGAGCTTGCCTTGTCCAAGAGCTTGCCTGGTCTAGGAGCTTGCCTGGTCCAGGAGCTTGCCTGGTCCAGGATCTTGCCTGGTCCAAGAGCTTGCCTGGTCGAGGAGCTTGCTTGGTCCACGAGCTTGCCTGGTCCAGGAGTGTGCCCGATCCACGAGCTTGCCTGGTCCAAGAGCGTGCCTTGTCCAGGAGCGTGCCTGGTCTATGAGCGAGCCTAGTCCAGGAGCTTGCCCGGTCTAGGAGCTTGCCTGGTCAAGGAGCTTGTGTGGTCCACGAGCTTGCCTGGTCCACGAGCTTGCCTGGTCCACGAGCGTGCGTGGTCCAGGAGCTTGCCTGGTCCAGGAGCTTGCCTGGTCCAGGAGCTTGCTTGGTCC